AGGCCAGAAACCTGCTTTCAGCAGCGAGGCCTCAGAGCTAAAGCTGGCCCAGAATAGAAAAAAAAAAAAGAAAAAAAGGAGCAGTTGGGAGCTTCAGTCACCCGCCAGCCTGAAAACGGCCCTCAGCCCCTTAGCCAGCCTGGCCAGGCACCCCAGTGGGGACCCCCACCCTGATCCAGGACACCCTTCAGGGCAAACCAGCCAGCCCCTACCCATGCACCAGGCCTCTATTCTATATAGTAAAAGGGTAATATGCCTCCCAGCACCAGGATCAGCGGAGCAGCGAGGCCTTCCGCCACCTGGATCAGCATGACAGGGGGCAGCGCCCAAACCCCCTGATCGCCCTGCGGCTCTGTGAGTGACAGGGGGCGGGGCCACAACCTCCATATCCGCCCTGCTCTGTTCGTGACAGGGGAAGGTGCCCCAACCCCCTGATCAGCCCTGCTCTGTGCCTGATAGGGGGGAGCTCCCCAATCCCCTGATTGCCCTGCGGCTCTGTTTGTGACAGGGGGCAGGGCCACAACCTCCCTATCTGCCCTGCTCTGTTCATGACAGGGGAAGGCGCCCCAACCCCCTGATCAGCCCTGCTCTGTGCCTGATAGGGGGGGAGCTCCCCAATCCCCTGATCGCCCTGCAGCTCTGTGTGTGACAGGGTGTGGCGCCCCAACCCCCCAACCCCTCACGGGCCCTGCTCTGTGTGTGACAGGGTAGAGCCATAACCTCTCCATCGGCCCTGCCCTGAGTGTGACAGTGGCGGCGCCCAACCCTCTGATCGGCCCCTGCTCTGTGGGTGATAGAGGGTGGTGCCCCAACCCCCCCTCCACGGGCCTTGCTCTGTGTGTAACGGGGTAGAGCCATAACCTCCCCATTGGCCCTGCCCTGAGTGTGACAGGGTGCAGCGCCCCAACCCCCTGATCCGTCCTGCTCTGTGTGTGACAGGGTGCAGCGCCCCAACCCCCTGATCCGTCCTGCTCTGTGTGTGACGGGGCAGTGCCCCAACTCCCCTTTCGGCCCTACTCTGTGAGTGACGGGGGGAGCTCCTCAACCCCCTGATCGGCCCTGCCCTGTGCGTGACAGGGGGGAGCTCCCCAACCCCCTAATCGACCCTGCTCTGTGTGTGACAGGGTACGGAGCCCCAACACCCCTGATGGGCCCTGCTCTGTGAGTGACAGGGCAGCACCCCACCCCCTGATTTGGCCCTGTTCTGTGCGTGACAGGGGGTGGCGCCGCAACCTCCCCCATCGACCCTGCCTTGAGTGTGACAGGGGGTGGTGCCCCCAACCCCCCAATCGGCCCTACCCTGAGCGTGACTGAGGGTGGCATCGCAACCTCCCGATCCGCCCTGCTCTGTGCATGACAGGGGGCGGCGCCCCAACTCCCCAATCAGCCGTGCTCTGAGCCCGACCAGGGGCTGCACCTAGGGATTGGGCCTGCCCTCTGCCACCCAGGAGTGGGCCTAAGCCAGCAGGTCGTTATCTCCTGAGGGGTCCCAGACTGCGAGAGGGCACAGGCCAGGCTGAAGAACCCCCTCTCCCCCCCGAGTGCACAAATTTTTGTGCACTGGGCCTCTAGTATATCTATATAAAAGCCTAAGCAACCATTGCAACCAAACGGACGACTGAGCAGCAGGCTGAGTGGGGCGACCAGGCCGGCCAGGGGGGTTAGTGAGGGGTGACCAAACAACCGAGCAGCAGGCTGCGTGGGCAATGAGCAGTAATATTTTAAAAGAAATCTTTTTTTCTGAGCAGTAGGTTTTGATAGTAGACTTAAAATATTCAGTAAACCATGTCGTAAACAGATGTGCTCTCTTCCAGGCTTTGTTGTTCCATTTGTAAAGCACAGTCAGGGAAGATTTAGCATGATTCTTAACGACCATAGGATTTATGGCATGGTATATGAGCACTGGCTTCAGCTTAAAGTCGCCAGGGCATTAGCCCCTAAGCAGAGAGTCAGTCTGTCCTTTGATGCTGTGAAGACAGGTATTGACTTCTCTAGCTATGAAAGTTGTAGAAGGTTAACTGTTGTTTAGTGTGGCCATCTTCAGTAATAATCTCAGCTAGATTTTCTACATAACTTTCTGCAGCTTCTGCATCAGCACTGCACTTTCGTTGTGATGACAGTTTAAACCTCATGAACTGACCTCTACTAGCTTCAGGCTTTTCTTTTACAGCTTCCTCGCCTCTCTTGGTTTAAGGGAATGTGGTAGCTGGTTTGATCTTTTGTCCAGTCCACTAAACTTCTCCATTTCAGCAATCAGGC